GGCGCGGCTTCCTGCCCCTTAACTGAACAGTTTGATGAAGCAGCCGTGGCAGTAGGGCTTGTCGTTCTGCTCTTTGAAAGTGCCTTTGTTGAGCTGCTTCAGGCAGAAGGCGCAGACAAAGTGCTCCGGGTGGAACTTCTTGGACATGGCGGTGATGCAGCGTCCTGTGATGGGCTTCTGGCAGCCGGAGCAGAGCGAGCCACGCCGCTCGTGGTAGTGCACTTCACAGTAGGGTTGGCCGTCGTGCTCGAAGAAGCTTCCATTCACAAACGGGGTGAAGCACTCCTGCCAACACACACAGACACACACACAGACATTGTTACTCTTGCTGTGGGAGGCTAACGACGCTCGCAAACGTAGGAGGTGAGAAGAATGTGTGGTACAAACCCTGCAAACAAAACACTCCGGATGCCAAAGACAGTTGAGTGCTGAGATGTAGTTCTCCAGAATGGCTCGGGCACAGCCGCCGCATTTTGGAGCAAACATATCAAAGTAATCCTTCCTGCAGTATGCCTTCCCGTCCTTTTCATGAAAGCCTTCACAGGGGACGCAGAAACACACAGGTTACTCAGCCCTCAGAAAAAAATGAAGTGTGTGTGTGTGAGGAGAGCTGGGAGGACACCTTCTGGGCCAAAAAAGGATCCGCACTGAGCGCAGAAGAAGTGCTCGGGATGCCACGTTCTGTCCAGCGCCGTGACCACTTTCTGAAAGGAGACGGGAGCATTGGTGACCGGCTAACTGCTCGGCGTCAGAGGCCCGCCTTTATCACATAGCGCCGACTCACGTCCAGGATGGGCCCGTTGCAGTAGTAGCAGCGCGGGGAGAACAGGTTGTGGTAATCCCTCTCGCAGTAGGGCTGCCCTTCTCGCTCGAAAAAGTTCCTGGAGCCAATCTCCTCTTGACAGTGAGAACACACAAAGTGTTCTGGGTGCCACGTGCGGCCCATGGCAGTCACCACCTGACACCAGGGAGGAGAAGATGATACCATTAGCATGCAAATCTGCAGGATGTGAACACTATGGATTCAGCGGACAGCAGCAGGCCGTACTCTGGTCTCACCTGGCCCACTATCGGCTTGGTGCAGGCTCCACAAACCCCTTTGGCGACAGTTTGCACTCCCAGCTTGTTGAGGTCAGACTGCAGGCTGCCCAGCATGTTGTCCAGCTTGTTGACCTGCGTCGGATGCCCACCGGGAACACCTCCTTTTCCTTGGGCCATAATCTGAAATAGTTTAATGTATAAAAATGGCAAAGTGTAACATAAAGAACTGAAAATCGCAGCGGTTTCACGTTACTTTGCTCGCACAGAAAAAGAAAGAAAACTCCTCTTAGAGGAGTGAAAAACAGAAGGGAAGAGAGAGCGGGACTCATGCCTGCATTGGAGGGAAGACGGGGTGGTACTCTGTTTGGCAGCCTACAGACACCAGGACTCTGGGCGCAGCTGGCTGCTCTGGCTCCAGAGGTGCGGGGCGGGTTGGAGCATGGAGGACGGGAGGGGGGGGCTGTGCTGTGGGGGTGGGAGGGTTCTGGATAGGGGGTGGCGGGGGGGGGGGCTTTTAAAATCTGCTGGGGTTCGGGTGGGAGTAGCTCCTGAACCAGGGTGGACTGCAGAAGGGTGGAGGCCGGTGGAGGAGGCGGTGGGGGGATTGGGACAGGGAGCTGCTGTGGCGGGGGTGGTCCCCTAGGCCCTTCTAAAACAGGGGCACAACGAGGGGGGGGGGGCGAAGGGGGTGGGAACATCTTCCTGACGGGGACAGGCGACTCGGGGGAAACTACCACCTGAAGGCAGGAGAAAAACAGAAGGAAGGGGACAGAGGAGGGAGAGGAGCAGAAAGTAAGAGCAGCCGAGCTCACGGGGGGGGGGGGAAATAAATTCCAGAACAAAAGGGCGGGACACCGAACCTTGTCGGCCTCGCTGCCAAGCCCCTCGCCACGGGCGCGCTGAGGTTTAGACACGCCCTCGGCCGGCCAGTCGTCCGACTGCCTGCGCCGCCGCTCCGAGCGCGCGATTCCCAGCTTACCCTGCAGCTCCTCTATCAGCCGGTCCTGAGAGGTGCTCTTGTTTACAATGATGGGTCCCATCTTCCTGCGCAGGTGGCCGTCCCGGTACATGGGGTGCACGTTGGGAGTCTCCTTGGTGCGCCTGATCACCGATTTGAGCTACAGGGGGAACGGTGAGCACCTTATGGCATCGTCCACACCAACCAGAAAGCTGCTGAAGCGACATGCCAGGCTGTTGTGGCGGTCAGTGGGCGTGCATGCTTAGGCGATATGCCCCCCCGCGGCCCCCTCCATGCAGTGGTCAGCCTCTCAGGCGAGCACAACCTCACCATAACAACCAATAACTAAAAGTATCATTATACTGAAAAGCACTGAGTTAATTAAGAGTGAGTTAGCAAACCAAAACCTCTGGGTTAGATGCTCTCCATTTTGTCTAGCCTCTGCCGGAAATGAACATTTCACAGCGTCTTTATTGCAGAAATCTCCAATCTGTTTTTTTGTTTTTTTTAAGGTGACATGTCGGCTGAAAATGTTTGACAGCATTTGAAGCTGAAATTCAGCTCAACTCAGGCTATTAATCTTATGATTCAGATTGGACCATTTTCTAAAGTATGTAAGAGAGATTAACATAACGTTACACAGCAGGTGATGTGCCAGCTCCACCTGATCCTACTCAGAATGATTTGAGCTGCTCGATGTGCTACAGAGAGCCCAAGTTTTATTTCAGCTTTCCCAAATAAGATGTGGAAAGTGAAGTTGAGCAGAGGCTAGCGTGTAGAAATGCTTCATTAGCCGGGGGAGGGAGCAGAACAAGCCCGACCGGAGCCACACGCAGGAGTGCCGACGCATACATGTCCCGTCGCAGACATTCTGTCCAGAGTGGGGGTCTGAAGCAGGGGCAGGTCCAGGGCAACGTCTGGGGTCCCGGGGCACGAGGACGGGGTCATGGAGTCGTCCATCCAGCTGGCTTCGGTCAGCGGGGTCATGCTGCCGTCGGTGTACAGCCTCTCGGTGTAGGGCGTCATGGTGCCGTCCAGTCCGTCGTGTAAGGACATGGACAGCTCCTCGTCAGCCCAGTCCAGGTCTCCGTTCCCGTCAGTGCCTCCGTCCAGAGACTCGCTGTTGGCGGCGCTGGTGAAAGTGTCGGGGTGGACGGCGCTGCGGTCCATGGGCAGGATGAGCTCCTCGTGCACCTCCTGCATGCCTTTGCCCAGGTGATGAGCGTCCATTTTCAACGACTCCCCGTGCTCCCCCGTATGGTTGTGAGCAAAGCTCATTGCTAGCAGCTTGTCTAGTGCCTCATCTAGGGAGGGCTCGGTGGCGGGGGGGTGCTGCACGGCGGGGGGGAAGTCCCTCTGGGCAGCAGGTGCCACTTCCATCAGTGGTCTGCTGGTGCTGGTGAAGGTTATCGGGGAGGCCACCATCAACGGAGAGGCTGGAGATGGTGAGGAGGTTTTTGATTGGGGGTGAAAAGAAAGTGGGGATATAGAGAAAGAAGCAGGGAGGGGTGATGTAGAGAGTGGAGGGGTGAAGCTTTTTGAAGGAAATGCTGTAGAATAATTCAAACCATGGTCATGGAAACCGGCTGAGGGCGTACTCATGGTATCAGGGGGAGAATGTGCTTGACTAAAAGTGGCTGAAGGGGATATCCTCTCCACAGAGGGACTCGGAGACTTGGAGGACTTATTTTCCAGGACGGTGTTAACTGAGGTGAGTGAGGGAGTGGTGGTATTGGAAGGACTGGAGCCACTTCTCAACAGACTGGAATTCGAGGGAGCAGACTGGGAAAGCACGAGCAGGGACTTTGTTTGGGAGGAAAGCATGGCGGCAGACACATCGATGGCAGAGTCCAGGTCTATGTCGCTGGCTGCAGAGAGAGAGGATGCAGGACTGTGGGGAAGGAGGCCCAAACGGGGTACCAGCATGCCCCCATCTCCTCCATCCTCATCAATATGCAGCTCCAGACCAGAGTTTAACAACAGGAGAGGAGAGGTAGATGGGTGGGACAGACTAAGGGAAGAAGAAACCCCGTGGGAGGAGGAGACTGGAGGTTGGTGAGAGCTGGAAGATACCCCTGCTGGGTCGAGCAGGGACCCCAAAGAATTGGGCTAGAGAACAGAAAGCAAAAGTAAGAAAAGGAGGAAAAGGAAAGGTATCAGTGGGAACATATCAGGAGAAGATGGAATTCAATTGACAGAGTGAAACTCTTCTGGAGTTAATCCACACCGTTTTGTACCTTGAAGTCAGACAAAGAGGCCATCAGTTCGTCCAGCTCCCTCGTGGCACAGGAAGCAGACATTCTGGCTTGCTGCTGAGAGGATGTGTCCAAATCATTGTGTCGAGTGGAGGGGCTGGAGAAAACAAACAGTCAAGTAGATTCTTTGTTATTGCATTCAGCAGCACCTCATGGACGTGTGGGTGTGGAGTTCAAAATGAGAGAGTATTTCTCAGGTCATGAGGGCCACCACTGTAAACCTGCTGTGTGCCGTTTTTATGGAGCTCAAAAAAGAACAAATTGGCATTTATTGACTCATATGAGACCCCAAACAGCAGGCCGTGTACCTGGGTGAAGGCACGGTGCCCTCCAGCTCATCCAGCAGACTCTCTACGGTGGGTCGGGCTTCATCCAGTCTGGTTCCGTTTCTCTTTGGCTTCTCCAGAGCTGGGGGGCTTACAAGGATGTCAGGGGCACCTCCGTTCTCATAGTGGGTGATGCTGCAGGATGGTAAAGGTGGAGCTGCCTCCTCTGTGGGGAAGTAACATTATGAGTAACACTGCAAAGCACAAAGAGAAGTGGGGAAGCTGAACGGGAATTTCTACTTGTCCCAGTTCCCAATTCTATTCCTGTCCAGTCTTGATCCCCCCCACCACCAGAGGAACAGAGGAGAAGGGAGAAATGGCACTCTAGACTGGACTTGTGACACCAATATGTCATGAAACAGATTCATGACCTGTGTGCTGTCCTACCCCTGCCTTTCATTTCTGTAAGATGACTTTTGTGACTACCTATTTAACAACAATTAAACTGGATGCTTACATTTAAATTCAGAAAAATGAATGATGGCAATAATAAGCTACACGTCTCAAATGCCTTTACATGGAAGAAGCAGTGGAGAAACCTGGCTTTCTACCTGTAGTAGGGAAGGAAGGCGAGCTTTGCTGCACGGCGTTGAGCTCCAGCAGGAGTCTGTCCAGCTCTGAGAGGTTACTGCCCAGGGCAGAGGTCATGGCTGCCGAAGACGAGTCGGATGATTTCTGTTTGTTTGGAAAACTGAGTAGGAACAAAGAAAGCGCAAGAGAAGGTAAAACAAAACAGCAAATGACCTGTTTGTTCCATATACACTACATCTTGTGTAAGCCAAAGGACACCTGTAAACGTGGTCCTCTTCGATGTGCGGCAAGGGAGGACTGCTACTGTCCCGGGACCATGAGCTCTTCTGGGCCGAACCTAAAGACTGCAAATGATGCATCAGTCAGTACTTAGATTTTCTGCTGTGGTCCTGACACTGCCTCTGCACCCTGTTACCACTGCTACAGCTACCAGCTGCAATTAAGAAACCGTTTTGTCGATCCATAGTTTATTAATCTAAAAGTGAAGACCACAAAGCTGTCCTGTTGGGCTATGGGAGGCAGTGACCAAAAACTAAGTTAATTCTCTCAACATACCAACATTATATCACATAATAGGTTGTCGCTATAAACATATTGTGTTACTATAGCCTCGATCCCCCGTTTAATAACATACAACTGCTATGATTAAATCCTTTCATGCGTTTTTTAAAATCTGAGAACAACTCCCCTCACAGATGAAAAATGTTCAACAAACAAAACTCGAGCGCAGTTCAGGCCACACCTAAAGGCAGTCTGTGTGCATGCAGTCATCAGCTAATGCTGTTCCAAACAAACAGGCGGCCGACCTTAGAGAAGCCTACCTGCTGGGAGGAGTGGTGGGAGTTGGTCTGGTCTGTCAGGGAGCCGTTCAGGGCCTCGGCAGAGGGTGGAGGGGGGACTGGAGGTGGCGCTGACACATCTTGATAGGAGTGTCCACCCGTGGGGATGGAGTAGGGGGTCTCGTCTGGCAAGAAGACCGGCCGTGTTGAGATGTGTGACGTTGTGGATTCCAGGTCTGCCAGCAGCGCGTCTGAGGGAGACAATTTGTATTCGTTAGCCTACACAATAATGTAGCTGTCCTAAAAATGAAAAAAGGAAAAAAAGAAGAAGAAGAAAGCATCCCAATGAAGAAGCAGACTTTCTAGTTTCCCCTTTACCCTGTGCGGTCATACCACACCAGAATTTCTCAAAACCTTTTTCCATGATGCTCCACATGTCCGGTTGTCCGTCTGGCCAAAAAATCCTCTGATGGGCTATGTTGGTGCACGGAGGTGACGACTGACTGCGTTAGGCTGTGAACAGTCACCGACGGCAAGTCCGAGGCTCTCATTACAATTAGTTAACCACACAAAAAAAGCTTCCTCCCAACTACCTTAATTTACAAGTCCATGAGAGCCGCCTGTCAATGTCTTTGATGTCTCTTTTCTTCATCCTATTCATTGACCTCATATTGCCTCGGTTTATGAGACTGAGCACAAATTTAACAACACAAGCTGACAACAAACATGTAGACAGCCAGCATTTTTGACTCCCGTCCAGGGTTGAGGGGGTACAGAGTTTGCCTGTGGAGAGTTTGTTGCAACACAGGAACAAAATAGACTCTTACATCACACAATCCATCCATGCTCAGCCTGTCCAGAATAGACCGCCATCACTTGCTGCATAATGTGACTCTACAGAAAGCTGGAACGGCTACTATCCCTATAAAACAATCGGTCCAATTTGAGTCCACAGTGCAATCTATTTTCTTCTAAGTCATTCCGTGTTGGACCCTGTTAACCACTCAAAAACAAAAACCCATCCTTAATGTACCAAAAAACATAAATGAAAATATTGGTAAGTAAGCCATTTATTATTTTCTTTATTGTGGCAAGGTCAACATTGTCAAACTATCAGCTGAGACACAATGAGAAAACACAGAACATCTCCATTCCTATGGAAGTGTAATATATGTACTTACTTATTTCCACTTGCTGTATCTGTATTATCCTCATTGAGGGACTTTCTAAGAGTATGAGATTGTCACTGCAGTATAGACAAAGGTAGAGAGAGCAACCAAGAGTTATAACCACAAAGAGAATGGGGGGTTGGTTAAAAGCCCATGAGTGGTGACAGTATCTTTCCAGTTTTCATCTATCTTCAACAGCAAACACTCAAAATATATCCATAATCATACTGAAGTCGTAAATTATTAGGTCTCAGCTTGATGTTCCAAACCATAAAACAACCATCAAAATGTTCAGCTCTGACAAATAACTGATATATATATATATATATATATATATATATATATATAAGTATAACACATCCACTTTCACTACTATCCATCTTAACCCCTCATCACCATGTATTTGTCCAGAAAGGGGGCCTGCCCAGAAGCCAGACATTAAAGTCCTGAAGTTTGACGTAAACCACATGGGAACACAAGCCTATTTAAAGAAGTAAGCTCAGTAAGTACCCATGTCTGTGCAAATGTGCTGAAATATCATGACCAGCTCAAAATAATCTGCACCTGGTGCTGACATGCTAAACAAGGCCTTACTGAAGTTGACTTTGTCACTCATAAAACAAAGCCTCCTAATAGAAAAATACCACAACTGGTCTCAGGACAAAGGTGAGCCGTAAACTGCAGCGATCTGGATTTAGTTACAGATTTAAATTTCAGTTAGAGCAACTTTAATGAAAAAAAAAAAAAAGATAGGAAAAATCAAGACCCAAATGTATTCCTAGAAAGTTCTTCTTGGCCTCGTCAAAGGACAGTAGAGCTGTCCAAGGCCTCTTAAATACTTGTAGACTAAGCCAAGTTTTTAGCTCATTATAGCCCCTCCCACCTGCTGATACCCCACATCTGTGACCTAGGCAAAGGCCCAGCAGAATAGATCTCCAGTTAGGTTAACTGCTTAAATAAAACTAATGACTAAAACATGATGCTTGAATTCATTCCACAGTGGAAATAAAAAATTTCCAGTATGCTTCTCCATGCATTTGATGCCAATCTAAAGTTGCAAAAAGACCAGTGAATCCCATCTATCCACACATAGCAGTACTAATTAAGTTCTAAAATAATAACGTTGCTTTATGGGAAGTTTTACCAACAGCTTCCACATTCCTATCTCACATCCCGTATCAGCTTTTAACTAGTCACAAACATGTATACAACCTCCTCTGAGCGATAAGTGTATCACTGTACTGTAGCTCATAAAACAATAAAGACTTAAGATGCTACCGAAATGTCATTGCTTGTCATTTGACTGTGGAGGTCAGTACTGAGACAAGCACGAAGGCAACAAGCTCGAAAGGTTTGATCCACAAAGAGTTAGAAGCATTAAGAATACAAACGAGTACTGCAGGCCAAGAAACAGGCTAAGCTTTTCCATTCCAGACAGGGGGTAGGAGCCACAATGGACAAAGTCCAATTCTGCTCTAACAGCATCCTGACTCAATGCTTCATTGTACCAGGCCTGGAAGAATAAAGCTGTCATCTAACATGATTTGACTGGATCTAATAATGCTGGATGAATTAATCAGACCTCAGTCAAACAACACAGTGATTTACAGTAGCTCTGTCAGGACACTGAACTGTGGTCACAGGGTGGAAACTTATTCTCATAATATTCAGCAAACAATTGCGAGGCCATGTGGACATGGCACACATTCTTGTGCTAGTGGGTACATGTATAGTCTTGACTGTGTGCAGCCTTATCCACCCATCCAAGGCCCTGCCACAGTCCAGCGGCGGTTATCAGATGAGAATGAAGGTACATGGGGAATTCCACACATTCCTCTGTTCGCTTCACAGACAGCAAGAAATCAGGTGTGGACACGGGAAAAAGGGGCTCAGAAATGGCAGAACGCAGCCACAATCCAGGAAAAAAAAATCCAGCCTGTCCCAGAAATGAAAAAGATGCTTCCTGATAAAAGTCTACTCAAGCAGAACATTCCTCCACCGCTGCAGGATTTTAGGTAGCTAGTCAGGGAAAAATGTGCTTGAATACAAAACACTGTTTGTCTGTCCACAAAATGAAAATAACGTGTGGATGATTACAGGACCCACTCCGCTAACTACAGCATGCTTTGAATTCCTCAATAAGGGAGATGTCAGTGTTGTTTTTTTTACTGCCCTTTTCCACATACTGTGGAGTACAGTGTGGGCAGAACTGAAACCTGGGCTGTCTAATCTTTGCTATTAACAAGTTGGCAACAGTGATGGGCCATCAGGGTCCACAGCTCACCTGTTTATAGCCAGGGAGCAAAAGAGTAGAACTGGCCAGTGTCCCGCACCGAAACCCTACCCCAGGCCAACCCAACATGATATTTATATCAAACAAGGCAGGCAGGGGCCAGGGAGAGGAGGAGGAGGGTGAAATACCAATGAGATAGACTGAGATGGCTGTGGCTGTGAAAGAACCACAGACAGAGGATGAATGGGAGAAAATGGGCCAGCATCAAAACTAATTAAATGATGGAATGAAAAGCGAGCCTTTGTCAAGCCTGATAAATTGTAGAGAGTTGTTCCTGTAGCGCACAATATCACGCTGGAAACAACAGGTGAATGATTGTAATAGCATACAATCAGAAAGACAGAAGCATCTTGGGGTGATTACGACCTAAAAATACCCTGCCAAGCAGCCCCACATACGAAAGATGACACTCCCCTTGAGAGAGTGCTGGACCAAAATAAAAGTACTTCCCCACAGACCAGTAAATCAGATGAGAAGGGAAAGTCTAAAGACTGATGTAACAACCAGCCACTGAGGACACATTCAGGGCCAAACTAACTCTGATAGTTTGATTCATCATTTCCAATTTGTCTTTATGAAACTCATAAATAAATAGTTTCAAGGCTTAAAATCTGAAAGTGAGTTCAAAAAAACAAAAGTTGTTACACATTCCATCAGATAGTATTTAGTTTGGGCGACCAGGCGGTCCGAGTGAGGAAGACAAATATGTACGACTCGACCTGTGTGACAGCAAAAGCAGCATTTAGAGGATGGGAGACATTTTCCCAGAAACTTCCTCTTTCTGAGGAGGTACTGAAAGGCTTTCAATAAGGCCTGACGTGAGCAATATTTGATGAAACCAGTAAGGACTGTAGGCCTGTCCGACGTCATTACCCTGACCGGTGCAGAAAGTAATCAGCATTGTACTCTGAGCCAAGCTACAAGGCCACGGGACTGATGAAGCGTGGACACAGCCTAGCAGAGACAAACAGGAAGAGACAGCAGAGAGCAGCAAGTAAGGAGACAGTGTGGTGGGATATGATCCAACAGGGAAAATTCTCTTCCAGCTCTGCGTCCACAGATGGAAGACCCCCAGCTGCCCCCTCTACCAGTGTTTGCTGGCCTCCAGCACTGACTCAGCTCATTGTTTTTCTCCTCTGTTTCCTGAGGATGTGGAGCGAGCTCGGTTGCCTAAGCGATGAGGTCAGCCATGTAGCACTCTTCCCCAGACCCAGAACAGGATGGGTGTGGAACAAGGGAACAAGGCTGATCTACAGCCAGAAGCTTCTTTCTAGTCTTTTAGGCTAGTCCACTGTTTAATGGAGGTACACAATAAACCCCCTACAGCTCTCATTGGGTGTTGATGGCCTGTTTGGTAACAGGAACTCTTTTTCGGCTCTCAAACAGACACAGAAAACACTAAAGACCTTCGAAAACTTCTGGTATGCTGTGAAAAAGGAATAAAACCCTCCTCATTGGTGTGTGCATGGGAGTGTTTGTGTGATTTACACACACAACAAGCGTGTCTTCTCAGCACACCTGCAAAATGTGGCGACACAAATAAAAAAAATAAAAAAAACTCTCCAGGGTTTCTCCTTTGCTTAGCTAAAAGATCAGGATTCAGTGTACACGAGCCCATTCACGCATGTGTTTACGACTGTGGATTAGCAAGCAGCTTTGTTTTAGTCTGATAAAGAATATGAACAATATCTGCTCGCACAGACATGGGAAATGGTTTGTAAGCTGGCCTAAATCTAACATGAGTCTGAGGAATTCACAGGGAGTTGAATGTTGGCTCCATACCGCACAAAGATGAAGCACAGAAGCAGAATATGCCCACAGAAAAGATACTGTGCCACATATCATACAGCCTTTAATGCGGACCAGTTCTACTGGCCACATCTGTGCTGAAAACGAGTTTAGCGCTGTCTGCCACCTGATTGTGACTGCGAAAGAAAAAGATTGGAGGAATCCACTGGAAATATCTGACTCACAGAAACCACCTGGAAGAGTGCTCAGTCTGTGGAGGGAATTCCCTTCTTCCAGCTTCTTCTTTAAATCAATTTGGACAGATCAATACAAATGGAAAGACAAAAGAGGGAAAAGAGTGCATTTTGATGCATTCAGTACCTCAGTGCCAGTGCACACAGAGGGCCGGTTAGCTGTGTTTTACACATGGTAAGGTAAATGATAGTCACAAATTGTTAAATATTTACCATGGTTTGTTAAAGGACATTTAAAGGGGGAGACTAACTCGGCTACAGCAGGGCAGCCCGGAGCAATTTACCTTCTGTGGTACACATGGCATCAACTCTCAGAGCTCGGGATTTTTAAACAATCTGCAAGTGTTGTAATTACAAGATGACGTTTCAGCAGGGCAGACCAGAACTGACAGCCCTCCCTCTGGTGGCAGCGTACACGGAGCCGAGAGAGGCGGCAGGAGGTGAGTCATGACCCAGAGAGTATTTGGCCTTGGACCCTGACACAGAGTGATGTTCAAAATTCCTCAGCAGCCTCGCCCCCTTCTTGAGTCCGCCGTTCACACTGCTTCAGAGGGGCTGTAAGCTCCCTCTCAACCAACAATAGGTCCTTTCAGCGGCCTACAGCAGCAAGAGTGCCCAACACGCCCTGGAGGCATTCCCCACAACAGGCCAAATACAAAATGTGGCCCATCATCCCTCCACTTAAACAATTCACAAATCTATTTTACTCCACCCTGAGCAGGTCATCCCAGACTATTTTTACTTAACAGGCAGAATAAATGGCTCATCCTGATCTAATGTGGCAATAATAGCAGAATGATTAGTTGATTAAAACTTTAACAACAGTGCAGATGTTTGGTGGGTAAGACTGAGGCTCGATGATGAGTTGAAGTTACCTACAGACCTACAGCTTCCTGGTTATGGACCGCTATGGGGGCTGATAGTGGATATCAGAAGGAGAAAAGACCTTAGGTAATGAGAACATTTCAAAATATTTTATTGATGACAATCTAACAAAATAAGAATGAAAGTTTGTCCTAAGTCAGTAACAAAAAACTGCACTGTAATGAACAATGATTAAAACTTTCAGCCATAAAAAACACAATAAAAATGTCTCCAAACCAGATCCACAACAAGACAACAGACATAAAACCATCTTGTTTGAAGTATTAATATTACAAACTGGTAGTGAATCTTACATTTTGATGGAGTTTGATTCACGAACACTGCAGTTGTGACAAAAGGTCAACCACAGCTACAGTAAAAATGTTGTAACTATTTAACAGTAACGAGTCAGTCAGTGGATTTTGGTTTTGTACTCATGTGGAAGATGAGCGTTTATTTCTTCTCAACACATTCTCATATTTCACAATCCCAATTTCTAATGTACGGCAATCAATCCGAAAAGCCAACAACTGGCTAGTTCAAGAAAAAAACATCGTGCGACACAATACTTCACATTCCAGTGCAGTTTTTTTATGAGCATTTTCAATCACTTCCGCAAAGTCAAAAAGGGTTTGTTGTGTTTTCAGTTTTCAAAGAGCTTGGAATAAGTTCAATTCAAGTGGAGTTTGGATACTAAAACTTGGGAACCATCATTGTTAGTCTAAAACTTTATTATATACAATTATTTTTCAGTGTACCTACCACTGGCAAATAAATAAATAGAAAATGTGGATACCATCAGAAAAGTATTTACCTGCTCTGTTGAAACTATTTACAACCCATAAACACAAAGTCAGAACACACAAAAAACAAAACAACCAGAAGTGTTTCACCCTGCCCATAACCGAAAAGAACCTGTTGGCATCCCATTTTGGCTTCTTTTGAGGGGGTCAGTTTTATTTAGATTGGCCCTACAGTATGCATTATATTTAATCATACTTAACAATTACCTTTACGTGATTCATCGAAATTAAAAGTACCCATTTTTGAGTCCAATAACAAGGCTTTTCATCCCATAAGCAGTCAGGTCTGCTCCATCACAAAAGAAGGTGGCTGTTAGTGGGCCAGAGCTCACATTGTGCCGTACTGAGCGGTCTAAATACGGAGGCCTGTTGACTCCACCACTTCAAAGTTGGAATGAGTAGCCTGGGGCAAGAGTCGAGGAGGTAAAGTGTAAGCTCGATGACAAAATGTCAGCTTCGTATCCCGGTCCGTGTGGAATAAAAGCGGCTGGTGTCGGTAACAGCGCGGTGTGTTACCAGCACACACGTTAACGTTACGCTGGCGGTACGTTAACGGCCGCTTTTAACAGGAGGTGCTGGGGAAGGCTAACGATGTCCAGCGGCTAAGATACTACGATGCTTATTTTAAAAAAAAAAAGTGGGCGTGATATTAAAGGTGTTAAGCATGTACTTTTTCAAATTACACTGCAAAATCCCCAACTAAGCACAGCAAGGTTTTCCTCTGTAATCCGAACGACCTAGAGTGAACCAGAAAGGCTGTTTTCATCTTAAAATCTCCACGTAACGTAAACTACTCCTCCACCCTGCTGTCCGCTCCTCTCTGGGCCAACAACACTTAGCTTAGAGGGGGGGAACGAAACTTAATGACTTACCTAAGTCGTCCATAGCGGCTGTCTACGTATATACTGTGTGCGTTTCGTGTTTGGAGAGCGTCCTGACTGTTTGCGAAGTCTGAATTTTCTCTTCAAACTTCAACGCCGCTGCCCTGGAAGTTAGTTGGGATTGGTCTCGTGAACGCGCAGCGGGATGTGCATGTGTACTTTAGGAGAGCGCGCGCCCACTGACGGCTCCAGTCACGAGCGACATCTCCAGACCTGAACCTAAAACTACACGTGTAAAATACACCACTTTGATCTGAAATATCTCAAACTAAGTGTATTGGGAAAATGGGACTCCTGACGTAGTGTTTAAAATTATTATGCAGATACTGGATTATGAACCAAGTGTGCTAAATGACCTTTTTTGGTGGATCTTAGTCCACTCATCCAGATTCAATTGCTTGAAGGAGTGTTTCCCAACCTAACTAAATTTAAAATAAATTGGTCTTAATCAACATTCTCCAGGTCTTAAAGAGATTTAGAGCTGTCCGATTCATTTATTCATCAGGTCGGCTAGAGTAGGGAAAAACATGCAGGGCAGGGTTGGAAAACACTGGCTTGTGGGAGGTTTAGTCTTGGAGATAACAGATTTAGGCCCTTTGACTGTAGGTGAGGCTTGGAAAAAATCCACATTAAAAATAAACAATTGTGCATCATTATCAGAATCATGACAAAAAGGTTTATTGTGGGTTTTTAAAAAAACAAAAAAACAAGAACCTGAATTGTGCTTGTCTTATCGACCCAAAAAAATCTTCAATTCAGAACATGTAAAAACAATGGGGATAAAGTTATTAAGCTGTGAAAATGTTCACAACCACCTGACGATGTGTTGTATTCAGCCATTAATCTGACTGTACAAACAATGTATCTAACCTTTTATTACCTTTCTGACAAATTATAGAGATAAAACTTATAAAAGACGATAAATCCATTTAATTAAAACAAAATGATTTCTATTACTAGATTCTCATGAAGCATAAATATGTAATCATTTCAAAAGTCTACAGCTTTCAGCTTCCTCTCCTCCTTCTCCGTGAGGGGCTGCTGGGAAAGGATTTTGTCGTGCAGGCGGTGGTGCTTTCCTATTCCGAGCTTGGGCAGACCCCTGTTCAGTCCCTCCAGCAGCACACAGGACTTGCACAGAGCCTGACTGGAGATGTAGCCACAGCGGCTGCAGGTTCCCTGGACAGGCATCTTTACCCCCTCCCGCACAGACAGGTTCTCACCAGAGTGAATGACATCCATTATGGAGCTGGGTCTTATGCTCTCCAAGTCCTTCAGAAAGGTCCTTGCGTAGCCACGATAAGCATTCGGAGAGTAAATACACTCAGTAGAAAAGTAGTCTAGCTTCTTAAAATAGGCGTACAGAACAATCTCTTTCTCATAGGCGTATTTCAGCGGCTTGCAGCGCGGCACCACGCCCTCGCCCTCACTGGCGGTGGAAATGGCAGTGCATCGCCGGAGACGAGCTATGTCGCCTCGCAGGACATTCATCAAAACCGTCTCTGCCACATCGTCAGCATTGTGACCTGAGGGGAGGGGGGGAAAGATCAGAGAGAGTTACACACTTTGGTTCATAAAAGATATTGCTGCTGTTACAGTCAGTTTGGATTACCTGTGCATATCTTATCCACTTTCAGAATGATAGCTCCCCTGTCCAGCGCCTGCCTTCTGAACACTCCGCAGAAGGTGCAGTTATTTTTCAGTCCCACCTGCTTGACTATAGCATCCATGGTCCACCCGTACAGCTCCTCATAGGACACAATCTTGAGCGGCAGCTCATACTGCTCCTGATTCCTCTTCACCGTCTCCAGGGAGTCGTCTCTGTAGCCAGTGATTCCCTCGTCCACCGAGATGAGCATGAGTTCGAGGCCGTAGCTGTAGCGCTCGTTCAGGAGCTTCATGACATGTGCGAGCACGGTGGAGTCCTTTCCTCCTGAGGCAGCGATTCCCACAGTCTCCCCGGGTTTGAAGAGCTTCGCTGCCATGATGGTTCGATGAACCTCCTCTTCAAACGCCCAAAAGAAGCAGTCCTTGCACAGTGAGTGGCCGGTTTTGGGACGCTTCAGCACGGCGCGCTTCTTGGCGCAGCTGCTACACAGGACGGGCATCTTTACTTTTGAAAAACAACAAATACACATGTGTTATGGGATATTTTTTCAAATGTCGTTTAACAGCGGCATACATACATCTATATCTAAAAAAGTCATGATCTTTTGAAGGCTGACGGGGTAAATTCGACCTAAACTTATCTTTCCTTTCTCTTATGATGAAGTTAAATTATTTTGATTGAGGAAACCAGTGAATTCCCATTTCACCTTAAATGGACTTCTACTAATCAGTACCATATTTATCTGAGGGAAAAGGATAAACAGTTTAATCTATTTAGATATATAATGTGCATTGCAGATGCTGACTATATTAACGCAGATATTCAGTTTACAATTGGAAAATTTACAAATTTCTGTATAGTACCACATATTTATCCAATTCCCTTGTTTTTTAGGGGCTTTAAATTTAAAAGCGTAACACAGAATGCATTACCTCAATAACACACGACTGAAGTATCTCTGTTTGAAAGGTTATAAAACCGTGGTGATATTAGAGTTTAGAGGAGATTTTAACCCATTAAAACGCCAGACGAAAATGAGCCACTGTTTGATTAGGATTAGCTAACCATGTGAAACCAAACACTGTCACATTACCATTAAGGAACATTTTCATACCAATTTGTCAGACGAACCGAGGTTTGGAGATATGGAAACGAGTCACACCAAACTATCTATTAGAAAAAATGCAGTTCTTACTCAATTTTAAGACTAAACTGCATGGAGTAGCATGTTGTTACATCATGTTATGATATTTCTTCTTCTTCGCTGGAAAACCGGAAGAGGCGCACCTGTCAAAGGCGACAGCGCCATCCAGTGGATGATATTGTCTAACCTGTATGCGTTTTCTTCATGGGACCCAAAACCAACTTTTAAAAGAATTTTTTTTTTTTTGTCACAACTTTAAAGTTGTTGCTTTTTTTTAGTCTGAATAATTTTTATGGAGAACAAAGGAGTAAAGCACATGATCAGGCGAGATGTTAAGCAAGGAGGATTTATTAGTTTGCTTTAAAGAATGTCACTACTGCAACAGCTGCAATAGACATCCAAATGCTGTGGGATGGAAATGGAGGACAAGGGGTTACTGCTAGAAGGGATTGCAGAGGTCAGGTTTCATGACAGCAAAGAGTCAAAAGATTAGTTGTTGGGGGGGAAAGCGCCCCTCTGATGCCACTGCATGTCTCTGATGCGCCGAACTGACTGGATCTGAGGAATCTGGGCTCCAAACTCGTTGCTGTCCTTATACTCCCCCTTTTCAAACAGGTACTGAAAGCCTCTGTATCCTGGATACTGATAGCCCACCCAACTGGCGCAGCAGATGCATAGGGAGAGAAAATCAGATGTTAAATGTGTAAAGAGGGCTGCAAAAGACATGCTAGGAGCAACGTGGAGGGGGGACTCACGTGCCACTCTGGACCCGAACAGAGGAGACCTTCTCCTGGTAGCCATGTGCGTGAAAGCTGGGGACGTCATCATCTATGATTTCTATCTTCTTCCCCGCAAAGCTGGGGTTTTCGTAAAGGACAATCTTGTGCTCCTGGCTGTCCTGAGAGAGAACAAAACAATCAGACGGGTGAGATGTGAACCAGGGCGTGAGATGCCTGATGCGGGGTATAAAAGATTTCTAAAAAAAAGAGTTGGTCTTTACCACTTTAATTGGGCGGAAGGCAGCAATGGTGTCGCTGCGCCTGCTGTTGGTCCAGGAATCCCAGCGAGGATACTCCCCCTTCTCAAACACATACTGCTCCCCCTTACAGTTGTTCTGCTCGTATCCCACCCATCTGACGAGGCAGAGAGAAAAAAACGATGGAAGCGACCAGAAATTCACCTCGTGTAATCTTTGTAGTGCAGATCAGCCAGTTTTTCTGCCATCTCTCTCTTTTCTCCCTAACAGAGTCAGACCCTCTTTTTCTGTTTGTTGGATGCTGAATTGTTTTCTAGTCATCCACCTGTCTCTGACCCACACTCACGGTCCACACAGCACCAGTATGGAGCCCACTTTCTCCACGCCTGCTTCCTGGAGGTTGTTACAGGGACCAGTCAGCTCGTGACAGCTTCCCTGGAAGTTTTCCTGCTCATAGATAACCAGCTGCTCACCACACAAAGAGGGGGGGGGAAACGAGGGGTTGTCTTTTAGTCTCTGTTGTAGAGGTCTAGGAGCTTTTTTGAACTTTAAGCTCTATTTTCGCTTACCTTAAATGCACTGGTGCCTGGCTGCTGCTGCTGCTTGGATCCAGGGTTCTGGTGGTCTGTGGCCATAGTGAATCTATTGATGAGGGTGAAACTGAGGAAAAGAACAGACCTATTGAATTGGTTTTAATAAAAATGTATGGGATACAAGAGTTTTTAACAGAAACACCACTTTATCATGATTTCGTTCCCCATTATTTATGCATTGAAATGCATTTAAATTGTCCTCATCAGCATCAAGAGTTTTCTGAACTCAGAATTACAGTATTGGAACATACAATACAAACTTTAAAGAACTTCCAGCTGCCGTGGCTAAACGATAGCAAAATGCTATAAAAGACTATTCTAAACAGAGTTATGAAAAAAATCCTGCTACAAATTGAAGTTAAACTTTATGAAAGTACAGCATGATGGACTTGAACCCCTTACCAGTACCTGTCTGTGCCAGTGTGTTGTGATGGCACAGGGAGCTCAATATATACGGGACGCCCAGGGGTGGAAACTCTGCCAACAGTGCCCACAGTGTCCAAACGGGCCAGCAGGCCGGCCTGCCATAGGCCCAGCAGACTGAAATGAGGGGTCACCGTGGAGCGCCCACCCCCGTCCCCTCCCTGGGGTGTCACACTCTCGCAAAGTTATTTCATTAGTAGTCAGTTTTGTCCAGCCAGTCATTGTTTGATATCCACATGATTCAGCACAATCAGTGCCAAGAGTCCCACACCTACAATGAGAGAGAGCGTGTGGGAGAGAAGGATTGTAAAAGATGGGTTTTACTGTGCTGGAGAGGTCGGGACTGTGGTGAATAACAGTGGAAACATGGCAGAACATTTCCACAACTCAAAGTTTGTTTATTTGTTTGGTCGTGGGGGAAAGTATTCTTCTTTAATATGACAATCCATTGAATAAGAAAGAGTCTCTAAAGGCTGGATTTTTTTTAATGTAAATCTGTTTCCAAAAGTGTACTGCCTCTCATCTTAACCATCATCTCTACCTATGTGGTTTAGCATGTTTTTAGATAATTGTGCATTAACTTCCCTTCTTCCTCACTACAATTTAAATTTTGAGCAAATTCTATACTTTCATCTCTGAGATCCAAAGACGGCTTTGCTTGACTTTTGCTTTGCCAAATCATTTTGGTGCACTTTAAATGCTATGACCTTAGATTCTGGCAGTTCAATCAAAGATATATTTTTCCTCTGTCCCCTAACTAAACACAAACTAGTGTCTCATAATGGTCTTTTGGAGGGGTTTGACTCGAAGATTGTATCGGGTAAACATTTTGAAATGTAAAATCTTGTCTTATATAGATATTAATGCCACAACATCAGTGAGTCGAGATCTTGTGATTATCTTATTCATGGTGCATAAAACTCAGCAACTCCATCAAGGTCAAGGATTCTTTATTTGTGCATTACATTTAACTTCTTTTTTTTTTGTAGTAAAGAGTGGGCAAGGACATTCAAAGTGCATAAAAACAAACATTGAATACTTCCCTGAGGCTTGGCGAAGATGAATGCATGACAAAACATGAATATATGAATAAAATACGTTTATTCAGTTTTGAAAACCTGATTCCATTAAGTTAAGGTACAAGGACAAAGACAAAATCAATGGATGGGTACACAATGGATTTCAGAAGATTCTGAAGTGTACACAGCAGCAGGAACAAAGCTGTTTGTGTAGCAAGTGGACTTTGAGACCCTGACTGATGGTGGTTATTTAAACAATGACACCTTAAACCACAAATGACTTTTACACATGACTTTCCTGTAATATTACAATGATACCGTGTCAGTATAGAAGAACATTGCTGTCTAACGTGTAAATCTGTATTGTCAGTAATCTCTGATGATTTTGTGCCTTGTTAACTCCCCGAGGGGCCCCTTTGTGCAGATGTGTGCTGTTTCACAGAAGAGAATGAACGTTGAGCGTTAAAAGTTTTGACAACACAGACTCTGGGAAATGGTGCTGGACCTCATTGTGCTAAATTGTGTGAGGTTTAAGGGATTTGTGTGCTACACTTCAGAGCTCAGAGACGGGAGTGAGTAGGGCTGAGCTGCTTGTGAAAAACCCACTGAGCTTGAACTCACAGGGAAAAGCATAAATTTGGTGTTTATGAAGAGCATTGACGACTGTTTGTGTATCAGGATTTCTGTCAAAGAGTTGAGGGGTCCAAAAAGCATCCGGCTTCCTCTTGCAATGCAATGTTTCTGTGTTGTGTTAAATAAAATTGAAAAGCTTTCATGCTCAAAGTAAAACTTAGTTACAGATCATAGCTATGAAAATTGCTTCTCTTCTAGGTTTGATTTGTTTCTTTGTTTTTCCTCCTTTTCCGGCCTGAAAATCTAAAGATTTCAGACGTAAAAGTTGGGAGAAACCCCTCCTCTTAATGGTTCTGTATGTGACCTTCCACGACTGCATGTGGAATGCATTGAGATGTCAGCACAGATATCTGGCCTGATTGAAAGTGAAGGACTATAATTCATCTATTCGAAATGTAAGAGCAATAATTGTGTAGTCAAATACTAGTACTAGTTTATCAATGATTTATTTCAGTCCAATTAACTTTAAGATTTACAACGATGACTATTAAAAGTGGGCGTGGTGCTCTCTGCTTTAATAACAAGCATAGATAGGGCATGAAATCAACTCCACTGCTGTTGAGCAAATTACAAATTCACTGAGCCGTAAGCTCTGAATGCTGGATGAGGTCACTAAAAGAAAGACAAATCAAAAGCAGCTCCCATGCCCCAAATGGAAATTCTGGTATTTTAAATGAAAAAAAAACATCTGCCACATGTAAGCTAGAACCTATTTTCACCTTTGAGTGTAGTTTCTCCAAATCCTTAAGTGTTTTCCCCCTTTTAGCGCCCAAATATGACATCACCAAAAAAACTCCAGATCAAACAACTTTTATTCTCTGCTGAAGTACACATGGCGGTCGTCACTGGGCACGAGCACTGTTGGCCATGGTAAGGTCAAGGCAGAGGGCAGGCACTGTGGGCAGGGGTGGGGGGGGGGAGATCCTGCTCAGCTTGTTCCAGCTGTAGCCGGAGGTGCTGGAGGTTCTGGAGAAGGATCGGGCTCTGGGCCGGGGCCGGGAGCCGGAGCGGGCTCGGGAATGATGAAACAGCCCCTCTTGTGCCACTGCATGTCCCGCACACGTCGGACCGACTGGATCTGGGGAGCGGGCGCCTCCCAGTCATTCCAGTGCTTGAAATCCCCTCGCTCGAAGATGAACTGCCGACCCCTGTAGCCCGGATACATGTAGCCAACCCACCTGGAGGAGGAGAAGGTTCCCAGACTATTGGAACAAAGCAGCTAGGACTTGATTTTTTCAGACTGAAAAAAAAACTGCCAGGACCATGTTATGTGGTCGAAATGTGAATTTAGGAGGAAACTTACACTCCGTTGAGGGCCTTGACACTTGCTACACGATCCTGAAAGCCGTGGCTCCACAAACTCGGCACGTCGTCATCGACTATCTCCATCTTTCTGCCGGTGAACCCGGGGTTCTCGTACAGGTGTAGCTTGTGTTCAGTACCATCCTGTGGTAGAAAAAACAGACGGCTGTATCTCCAGGTCCATCACATTCCGTCAGCTGATGTGAACTTTGTGAGATAATCATTTGTAAAGTTTGGGAAAATGTTTTTTGTCTGCTTTAATTTGTAGCATCTGTACTGTTTCGCAAGAGAACACACCCACCACGTTAAGTGGCCTTAGAGAGAAGAGGGAGTAGCTGCTCTGACTGTTGGTCCATGTGTCCCAGCGTGGATACTCGCCCTTTTCCAGAATAAACTGCTCCCCTGTAAAGCCCTGACGATCGTACCCCACCCAGCTGAGAGGAGGAAAAAAAATAAAAGAGTTCACGTCATTGATAAGGCCACTCTGCTCAGCAGAATCAGTGCCGAGAATAAAAGCAACATTACTCACGGTCCTGACTCAACAATCACGGAGCCGACCTTCTCCAGCTCCTTCTCCGTCACATCTTTACACTCTGCAGAAAACTCGGCTTTGCAGCCCCGGAAGTTCTCAAACTCAAACAGCACCACCTGAATCACAGAGAGAGGCCGGCGTTTGATCCAGGTCCTCACAAGCGTCTGACAGAGAACGGTTCAGAGGCGTTTAAAAGCAAACAGCAAAGTCACTGATGAAAACTCCCAGAGCTGAAATGTTTGCGTCTGATTAGAGAAGAATCCGGGAGCGATTCTGTCCAGGTGTGTCTAAAGCACCTTATACGTGGCTCCAGCTCCACCCTGGCTCTTCCCAGCAGCCAGCTGCTCGGAGGCGCTCTGCTGCTCCGACATCCTCCTGATCCACTGCTCCTCCACTTTTTGGCAACAGCACGCACATAGACAAAGCAGCATCCATCAGGCATGTACACGAGGGCAGCAAAATACACACAGAAAGAAAGCTCAGTGTTACAGATACAGAGGATTTCTCAGCCGAGAGTATGAGGATTGTAGGAATTTCACACAATCTGATCTCCCACATGAGAGCTCGTTATGGCCTTGAAAGAGTTTCAAAACTATCCTCGATACTAAAAAACAAACAAACCCCAAACCTGCATTTCCATTTATGGCGGCACCATCTGGCTCCATCACACAAGAGTTAACACATCACATTTCTGATTCCTGTGTCCAGGGTGAGGCTTTTACCTGGGTATGCCTGCAAGGAAGTGGTAGCGTCCCTCTTTTTCGATACCACTTGGTGTTTGGTGGGGCTGAACCATTAGAGGGGAGGCACAGTGGGGGGTATTTATGGTTTATTTCTGGCCACAACAGCAGAAAAGGGGGAGCTGTTGATACAGCAAGTCTGTCACTCACATTGTGTCGGTAACCCTGCCTCTCAATAGGCAGCTGTGTTGGCACACGCTGCCCTGCCCGTCCGCCAGGCTGCCAGCGAGCACTGTGTTCGGGCACAGGGGGAGAGAGCCAAGAGGATTCAGCAAACAGGCCTGCTCAGCACAAACACACACACGCGCACACACACACACACACACACACTTACAGGCTGCATCCAATCTCAAACTGCACAGTTGTCTCTCACATCTTTCTATAGCACCAAACATCCTTTATAAGGCAGCGGATTCTTAGACTTAAATTCTACAATAAGACTTTTAAGACTCTAGTTAGTGATTCTATTCCAGAAATACCTGAAAAAAAACGATCATTTCTCTGATATTCACAATGGCAAAGACGTACGGGAGGCTGTTGGCTCGAGTCAAGTAAATTTTATTAAGAATGTATTCACTTTAGGACACTGGCCAATACAACACAGTGCAATAGATGTTTGTTACTTTTACATTTAAAAAAAAAAGAAAGAAAAAAGATAGGCATAAAAAAAAAAGACAAAACCCTCAAATTTGACGTCAGAAGAAGACGTCGGCATACACAGAAACCAGGGGCGATTGCTCTGAAGCCTCTGACAACACATTCACCTGCATTACATGAGCAGGCCCACCAGACACACACACACACACAGACAGAGACACACACACGCGCGCGCACACACAGACACACACGTCATGGCCAACAAGAGAGGGGCAGAGGTCTGTGGTGTAGTGCATCGAGTGCCAAAGTGCTGTGAAGAGGCGTGGAATAAGCCGGTGGATGGTAAACATGTGCGGGAGCTTTAAAGCAGCTGCACATGTTCCCGTTTGTTTGGGAGAGATTGGACAATTTTACGAGCGAACCATCCCCACTGAGACCCAGAGCCTGCGGACCAGAGCCAAGCCGGAAGCCGCAGGAAAGATTGTGCATGCACATGAATGAGGACAAACTTAAATGGGGGGGGGGGGGGTAATTGCACGGTCGTTGGAAAAACATTGTCAAAACAATGATTGAGGAGGGTGTGGGCCTTAAAAGGGGACAGTATGGCTTACCGTAGAAGATACTTGCAGCTACAATCGTTCTGTCCATTAAAGGTGGGGAACTGAGGGGCTGATTAAATGTCGTGTGTTTGTGCTGATTTGGAGTGTATACGCCTGACAAATGCAGAGTCGCTTTTCAAAAGTCCCCCCACCCTATCCCTTATCAACATTAGTATTTGGACAAAAAATATATATTTATATATATATATACACAGAGCGCAGCAACTGTGACACTGATCAGCTGTGGAGTGCATCAAAGTGAAAGTAGTGTCTATTGTAGTGATGCATCTTACGTGTTACTTTCTGCAAAACTAGCTTTCTGTTAAATCATTGATCATACAAATATAACCCATCCTGATCTCAGTTACTAACATGATACGAACAGACAGACAAGTCAGTGGTGATTTGTTCACTATTTTCAAAGAGCCATTAGTATCTGAAATGTTAACCTATGGCAATGCTTGTATGACTCCGATCGACTTCTACAGAGAGCACACATACGGCTGAGGCTAAGCCGACCTGTACGCATCAGTCGAATGAGGAAACTACACACAAACGTGCTGTAAAGGTTTAGCCGGACAGTCCTCCAGCAGAGGCCAGCCAGCATTTCCAGGATGAAAAGGCCTTGTGGTCCCACAATTGAACATTTCCACAAACGTGACCTAACAGTAAGATAACTGTCCCTAAATGCTTCTCCGCTTTGCTTCCATCTCCTGGTCCCCGTTGAAGCCCCTCCAGGAGTGTCCCACAGGTGTGAGCGTGAAATGCAGGGAGCAGAGCGGCGTGATGTTTTTCCACTTGCTCTCGTTTCTTTTTCCATTAGACAGATTCTCCATAAAAAGGCACCATGCACATTTATCGACCCAGAAGGGAAGAGGCAAATACATCAAAACAAAACAAACAAAAACGTCAGCAGCTGTAGGTCCGCCCTCTCCCACTCCCTGGGTCAACGTTAAGGCTTCTAGTTCACACAGATTCATCTGTTAAGGCAACCTTAAGGGCAGAGAGAAGAACACTGGGGTCAGAAGATAGCAGCAACAATGAGCCATTTCACTTGATTCTTTAAAATAGAGACTCTCACCTTACGGTTTGCTTAGCTCTCATTTTCATACTGACTCAAGCGCTTCTTTGATTTCAGCTCTTTCAACCACTGGGGTGAGTCCTCCTCACTATAAAAGATGAGATGCTGCACTTAAAAGGAAGAATCCTCGTTGAGGAGGAAAAATAATTTGTCTGGCTTACTTACCCGTTTTCTTTGCCACCAGGTGGGGGCAGCACACGCGCAGCCCTGGGGAGGAATGGGGACTTAGGAGAGCGTGATGGCTGAGATGGAGAAAGACTGGTTGCCTCAATCTGATTGTCAGAGTCCCCCCTCTTCTTCAGCTGGGCCTGACCAAAAGTAAAACATGCTGTTTAGTGCTCATCTTGCTTTTGGAGAGACTTTACAGTTTAAGAAATTTAGGAAAACCTAAAATAGCCTTTGCAGAATGACAACAGCATTGAGGTCAAAAGCGACAGGGGTAATAAAGATGGTAGATGAGGTGGAAACGCAGCTGCTGGCTCACCTTTAAAGCTGAGGGGTCTACACCGGGAAACAGGGCGATCCTCTGTGGCTGCGAGGCAACAGCAGGGCCTCCATCAGCTCCCCTGGCCTGCTCCTCAGACTCAGAGTCGTCGTCTTTATTCTCTGCCTTTGGCGCTGTTGAAAGGAAGAGCATAAATCAACAGGTGCTTTCCCCGAAAAACATTCTGTGAGTTCTTGTGAGACTTTCTCAAGAGCCCAATCTTTTCCAGGCCGTTGGAGTTAGCTACAAGTGGTCTCCATTGCTGGTGTGGTGATTTTAAGATTTATTCATGTCCTAATCAAAAGTCCCAATTCAAAAATAGGGCCCCCACTTGTGGGAGGCTTTTGGTGGAATAAATTAAATGAAAACGCGACTTTCTGGGTGATACTGATGTGCTTCCATTGCACGTGAATATTGTGTAAAGGATAAGAGAGGGAAGGACAATATACATAAGAAAAAGTCAGAAGAGTGTTCCTCATCTAGTTGGGGATTAGCAGCCCCCTGCATGTAGGAATTGTGTCTATAAGCAAACCAGAGGTTTTCCCTAGGTTTCCCTAAATTAAGACCCCAAACATTAAAAAATGAGGGAAATGGTTTAACTTCTTGTCATTTGGGCAGACATCCACAGTTAAAGATGAACCGGGGGTCATCTTTTAGAGATTAAAGCATTTGCGGATAAACAAAAGAAAGGAAAAAAGACCTAACCCTAACCCAAACCCCTCTCCCAAAAGATTGCTTATGCGTTTCTTACTGGTGGAGTCTCGGTAAAGCCAGTCCTCTGTGGTCACTCCGTCTCCGTCGGGCTGTGCAGCCGTCTGGCGGGCCGCCCTCGACGGCCGTGTCCGTGGGGCTCGTTTCTTCCCCAGCTGGGCCCTTGAGCGGAGAGCACTGGTGTCCAGCAAAGTGGCCGGAGCCTGGATGTCCAGAAACAAAATGCAAATAAAGAAAAAAACGATTACTCAAAGGAACTGAAGTCAAAACACGTCAGATGGCATGCGATGCTGTCCATGACAAGTTAAACTTACATCAGGGAAAGCAAGCGGCTGGCTCCCTGACGAGGACGAAGCAGGCGGGCCGTCCAGAGTGTCGGCTTCAAACTGCGAAGCCTGGTCACCTGGGGAGTGGAGTGGAGTGGGCTTCCTTGGTGAGGGACTGGCATAGCCTTCTGAGCTGGGAGTGGCAGGTGTGAGGCTGCAACATTTAAAAGACAAAATAATAATAGATATGAGCTTTATAAAACTATTTTATAAACAGCTTTGACCACCGTTACAATCACAGAGAATCTGACACATGACCCATGACAATCTCTTTTAAACTAGGAAAACCTCCGCACATCACACTCACACACAGTGTTCATCCGGGTGGTTTTATTTAACTGTCTTCCTTTAAAACAACTGGACAGGTCCTTCTTATTGGTTCTGACTGAGGCTGCAATTCCCTGTTCTGACCAGAGGAGGTCAGTGAGACCTTATGACATGACAGAAATATTTTGTATTCGATGACAATGAAGGTAAAAATATCAAACAATATACAACTTCACAGGCTACACTTGTTCTTAGCAGTTCCTTTCAAAAGATTAGATTTGTCTTACTTTCCCTGGCAGATAAACCACATGAAGTAAAGCAGGAAAAGATTAAGCCTGATTTATAAACACATTGATTTACCTGTCATCGGTGCGCAGCCCCGTCTCCCAGGTGCCATACTGACTGTCCGGCTCGCCCACTGGTGTTTCAGAGTCTTTGCCCTCCTCTTCGCTGCTTTGCTTCTGCTGCACCTGGAAACCGGATGGAGTGAGGAGAGAAATCACCGATGATGCGTCATGTTTTAACCTAACAGACACGCAAATCTGAGCGTGACCATTCCCGTTTCACTGTCCTGTATATTATGATAAAATACATCTATATATACAGATGTATAACAAAAGATTGGTGATAACGGCATCATTGTTGAGATGGGCAATGAAAGGTGAAGGGATGAGTTAACAGTCAGGACCAGAGCTGGGACAGAGACAGTGATTGGAGGGTGAGTGATTGCTGCCTACTGAACCATGCCTCTTTTAATGAGTCTGGTACAGAGAACATACTGTCTCAAATCCAAACACAGCTCCAAAAGGCACGCCTACGAATGAACTGATAACCCTGGCCTATATAGGGGGAGCAAGAACAATAAAAAATCCTTCTGTCCTCAGATGGAGCCCGGTGGCTGGACAGGGAAATGTGGCACACCTGACACTGAACCACTACCGCCCAGGTTGTCTGACCACCAGAACCGTTTGCTGCTGAGATTTCTGGAGACAGACTGCAGCAGAGCTCTGGGAGAGAGCAGCGAGGCAAGAGCACGGCACACAAGAGCAACGCCAACAAGGAAGGCGTGAGATCGAGTGCAACTGTGAGAAATGCATGAAAGCATCCAGAGAGGGGAAAAAGAGCAGCGGCGCAGGATGTCGTTCATCAGCAGAGGCCTTCCTGACAGGAAAGGAGACAACAGAGGAGTGACAACGCCGTTCAATAACGCCGTTTA